GCTGCGAACAAATCGAGCGAGAAGAGAAAAATGAGGTCAACGATTCAAACGCTGCATAACTGATAAATACAAAACGAATTAAAGAGTACCACGATATATCAAAGTTATAAGTAATAATTCAACTACACCACAAAAATGCTCTGTGTCTTTGACAAATGGCTTCCTCTATGTCGCCACTGCAATAGGTTCTTTGGAGAAGAATATATTTCGTCTGCATATAGTTAGCTTAAAAAATAATTGATATACGTTTTTATGTAAATTACATGGTAGAGTTCAAATAGTTCTAAATTTTACATAATACTGAACAGAACAGTGATGATGTGTTTGACAAACCGCACATGACTACTGTAGAGCGAGTCTGACACAATGAACAGTAAAGTTGTTCTAAATTAAACTACAAAAAAAAAACTGCTTTTTTAATACGCTTACTAAAACTCTTTGTTAATATTACGCTTTTTATTCCTTTGAAGATAAGTCATTTTCTTCTATTTTCTTCTTTTAGCTAAATATTTTCTTTTCGTTCTGTCTAAATTTCATAGAGAACAGAGGCACTGAGAGCTTCATAAATGTAATCCAGCTGTCATGGGCAGAAATCAGAAAAAACGAGAGTACGTTCGGCTAGCTTTATCAATTCTTGCAAAATTTTATTGCAAAGATAATGTTGAGCAGAAACGATATAGACAACAATTACGTTTGACCATGTTTATTATATACGTGTTAATAATTATTTCTCACAAACACTGTTTTCGCGAACACCAATGAAGTGATGAAAACGTTGATTACCAACCCAATTAGCTCCTTTCTAAAGTTCTTCACAGAATGTCAGTATCCTGAATAAAAATTAAATGAAAACTGGAATTTTAAGCAGAAATAGTAAAAAAAAGTAAAATTTTTGAGTTTTATATTATTATAAAAAATTGAGATAGCAGCAGCTTGAAGTTTGATGCATGACACAAGTCGGAGCAGATTTCCGACCATCTCAGCCGGTTTTTTTGACTTTAAACATAAACTGCGACAGTCTTGTTAAGATTGAAACTGCAGAAAAAATAAATGTTTTTGTGAAGCAGAAATCAATTTTAACCTCCTCCCCACTTTATTTAAAACTTTACAGTATATAAAGCTTATTCTAGTAGCTCTAAAAATTACTCGTTTGACGTACACTGCAATAACTCAAAATCACCAATAGTCTTTTTTTAGAAAAAAATTAAAAAGAATGTTTGAAAAGGTCAGGAACGAAGTGCAGTATTTTGAACAAAAAATGCGTTTAAAATGCAAAACCAGTAATTCGCGATTTGCAGCATCATAATAAAATTTAATTTTAGAAACTTTTCGTTATCTTGTCACAATTTTGACATTTCTCACGGGTTACAACCTTTTGACCAGTTCATTTGCATTGAAGTAATTGTGGTTGATTTATTAGAGGAATTTCCTCTAAAAGACGTTAAAATAGCGCGCTCTTGAGAGTAAACTATCAGAATGACTTTGGACATATTGAGTCAGTATTGTTCTTATCAACTTAACAGTTAGTAAACAAATTTTGTAAATTTATTGAATTAATATTGCAAATAAACTTCAAGCTTGCGATTTTTACGTACATTGAACCAGCTTTTGAAGTTTTAGAAATAATAGTTGTTTTTGGAAAAAGTACTTTTAAAGTTTTTAGAAGCTATTTTGTTCGTTTATTTTGTTTTATTAGGCTCATTCAACATTCCACTCTAATTGATACGTACTGGTGCGATAAGCCTTATGAGCAGTGCTCTTATTAAGAGCACAGCTAATACCAAAGATTGCTAATATTTTGCTAAATGTTAACTTTATGTTTACGGTCTTTTGTTTCGTTTTACAAAAATGTCAGAAACTGTAATAGGTCTAAGAAAGTACAAGTTTCAATAAATTATACCACTTCTTTTGCTAATTTTCAGGAATGTCGTAATCTTTTTCATCTGACAATTCTTCTTCATCCGAAAAGTTGCTTTCAGGAGCGAAGTTTGAAGTTGGTTTAGATGACTAAAACAAGTAACTGTACGACAGCAAAGGAAATGCAGCTCTATACTTATAATTTAAAATAGTAGCCAAAACTGATTATTAGTGAGTGTAGTATGTGGGTTCCACACTCACTGCTTTTGACAATAACAGTGTTGAAGAGTTAAACAAAAGAGGCGTTGAAATAAAAAAGAAGAGTAAAAGGTGAAGAAGTAAAGTTCTTTATAATAATTAACGGTTTTTAAGAAGCGCAACTGTCTATCAGTCCTATAGCAAATTGCCAAAAATTTTTGTTAAATTATTTTTTCACTTTTATTTTACTATTTCTATGAAAAACATTTTTAGCAAAGCAGCTTGCTTTTTCGACACAATTGCTTTCGTCAAAAAAAAAACAACCTTTTAACTTTCTGCATAAAAGTTTTGATCTTGAAATGCCGCGATTTCCTTGCAACAAGGCAAACTACTTAGAAACTTTTCACAAAAAATTAAACAAAGCATCAGACAAGACAAAATATAGAGAAAAAGTTTTACAAATTTTTGTTAGGAATTAAGGTTTCACCGTTTATAATAGACTTTTTAAAAGCGTTTTTAAAGCAGCTTACCTGCTAAATTTTTAAAAATGATATTTTTGTAAAATATGATTTTTTTTTAACATTTTAGAAATACAAGATGGTGTTCTTGTAGTGCTGAAAGGTACGATGTAGTTACTAGGGAAAAGTCTTTCAGTTTAAGCAGCAGCCTGGTTGCATTTTTTTTTTTATTGTTACACTAAAGCATTTTTTAACTTGGCTGGTTTAGCAGCATGTGTTCAATTAAAACTTTTTTTCTTTTTGATAATTTGTGGTTTACATAAAATTTCCAAAAAAATTTATTGTTATTATTTTCAATCATCTCTTAAATTTGTCTAATTTTTCTTTCTCACCAAAGATGTCTGAACTACATTTTTAAGTCTAGCTGTCATTAACAAACGTTTTATAGCTTGTCTTCTAAAAAGTGTATTGTTTAAAAATTTTACTACGATTTAGCAGTGATTTTTCAGGATGCTGCTCACCAGTAGACAAAAGCAGTAAGCCGGTACCTAATTTGTTACACTATACTGTAGGTATGACAGAGTCTGTTTGCCTTCATTACTTCTACAGTTTTTTTCTAGTAGCAGAGTGTTCCGCTCATGACACCATGGCTGCGGATTTATTCCATTACTAATTTTTGAGTTTTTTTGAAGAAAGATTGAGATTTTAAAAGTTTTATATACTTGACTTCGCAAAAAAAGTCGTTATGAAGGTATAACAGACAAACTGAAAAAACTGTAGACGAGACCTAGTCTATCAACAACACTTTCATGACAGCTAAAAAAACTTCACTACTGGGTATCAAAGCATCTGAAAAGAATATAAACATTTGTTGTATTTGCCAAACATATTCAAAGAAAAGCCTTTGCAGCACACATTTTTGTTTAATTATACCTATTTATGAAAATACAAAAATTTTATATGATTATACTACACAGCTCAAATGACAACAGGAAAATACCAGTAGCTAAAATTTAGTTTTATATAGCCAAGATTTACAATTTTATAAGAAAGTTTGAGGTGAAATAGTGACCCTAACTATACTACCATTTTTTAAAAACTGTTGTTTAATTCGTTTAGCAGCGAGTAAAGTTTAATTCAATACTTCCTACTAATTCAATTTAACCGAAGCATAGTTAAATACAATAATATCTTAACTGAACTTGAAACGTCATCTTCTGCAGACCTGGCAAGCTCTTGCGTAAAATAAAATTTTTTGCAGTTTATCTTTAGTAATCACTTTGTAACTTATGACAACATAAGTAGACCACTTTCTGATTTTTGTTTGTTATACAAATTTTATTTCTCTAAAAAAGAAGCATTTTCAAAAATTATAAAGTGTAAGTCGCTTTAAAAAAATATATTTGTTATATTTTTAACTTTATCTTTATATACTGCGATGACATACGCGTCTTACTATTTTTTTTTGAGTTTCTAGAAGATGTAGTTTTAGTAGCGTAGAAATTTTAAAAATTGGCTATAGCGAACAAAATTAGAAGCTTCCACAACGACTGCTAACAAACTTTTCAAGGTCATTCTTCTTGTCCTAACTGTTGCACCAATACGACATTTCCTGTCTAGAGAGAAGGCGGAGAAACTGTGTTTGTCAGTCAGGTGCAGCTAAAAACGTGACGATCATGCTATGCAAGGCGCTGGCTGCCAAGTTTAGTATGAGGAATCGTTTAATGTGGCTTATTAGGCAGACATGTAGAAGCCCAACAGAAAACCTATTTAAGCAAGCCTCAAAGAACCTGCTTAAAAGCCATACAAAGCATGCTTTTTGAGTTTTTCCGGTAAAGAAGCGTCAAGTTTTGGGGTAACAGTACTGTCTCTTGTAATCTCTGTTGGACTAAACCTTTCAATCTAGCTTATTTGTTGAGACTTCTGTATTTTCCAAAACCTCGCTGACGGTTAGTCTTTTTGTCAGTTTTATACTGTTAGTGATTGTCTTAGCTTCTCCTCTTAACTGCCTTATCTACTTCCCTCTTCTTTTATAACTTCGAATTTGTGTCTTCTTGTTTCGTTTTTTGGTGTCATTTCTCTGCTTTGTGTAAAGCGTTTCAATTCTTGCCTAACTGAGTCCTCCTCTTTAATAAAGGTCTCACTAGTTACCGAACTCCGAGACAATTAAAAAATCGCGCCACGTAGACCTTCAAGCAAGTTTTAGCATTGGATAGTTTTTAGTTGGAATATTTATCATTGAGTGTTGAGTTCAACAAGTGAGCAAATAGTAAAAAATCTGGAAAATTGGTAGGTAAAATGTATCATTGAATGTAAAATAACGTGTACATATAAAAATCACCTGTATCTCAGAATATAAAAAATATTTTTGGCTATCTTTTCAATTTTTGATTTATTTTTACCAAATTTAGACCTGGTTACTACGATTTTACTCATAGGAAGCGGGGTTTTAATCATTGTAAGTAGTCTGCGGGTACTAGCAAGCTCTTAAAAATTCCTTCCTATAGTTGGATAATCAGTCCTTCCTGCTATCTGCACGAAATTGTCAAAAGTTACAAAAATTAGTTGAAAATTATCTGGACAGTAACTTTTATCGTTTTGCCTTTTTTGTTGTTTATTAGCATTTGAAATTTCAAAACACAATAGAGACTTATTCGTCACCTTTTGCTTGTCGCTTGTCGCACGCAGACCTGTAAAATCCTGATAGGCTGCTTCTTTGGATGGAAACTAAAAATTTTTGGCTTTCTAGATAACGTATAAAAAATTATCACATTAAAGCAGTTTTCAGGCACTGTCCTTGATAACACGAGGTAGCAATTAATAATAATTTTTGAAAAAGTGAAGTTCTAAGTACAAAGAAAAATCTACAATCTCCGAAATTTTAAAAAAACTTCTCTTTATTTTTTAATCTTGTAGCTGTTTAAAGCACTTTGTTTTTTTTTTCTTTTTTTTTCAGCTGCAAAAAAACTGAACTTTAAAATCTATGTGTTCTCTACCAAGAAAAAAATTGAACTTATCACGTACTTTAAAATTACATCTAATATTAACTGTAACTCGTGCTTTGAGACCCTTTTCTTTTATTCAAAACTAAAAGCGAATGCTGGTGTTTAAGACACTTTTTGTTGATTAACTTCTGTACTCGCATGCTTGCTTTAACAAGACGCTGCAGAGGTTAGAACGTTATAAAAGATACTTGTTTTTTAGCTTTTTCATTTTACGGCTTTATTTTGAAAATAATATTACCTTTTTGTCAAACGGAGGCTTCTCTGAAAATTCCTTGTTCAATCCTTGATCTTTTTTTGGTGTTGTTGTGAATTTTACCTGTGCGGAACGTCGCTTCTTTGCTGATTCGAAATTCTAAAAGCACTTGTATACCATAACGGCAAACTGGACCGATATTTACTTTTGAAGGAGCAGCTTAAACAGTTTAGGCTTTCAAATAGTGCAAATTTGAAATTTATTCGCAAAAATTAGACAAAAGCAATAATAAAGTAATTTTTTCAATAAAATAATTTTTAATACATATCTGTATAATTCTACAAGTTTTCAAATTATAGCTCTCGCGTTGTTGCGGTAATTTCTAAGGATTCTTGTTCTTCTAAACCGGTTTCAACCATTCAGAAACGTTTCAAAAATTGTTCCCCGCAAGTGAAGAAAAAAATTGAACAGAATATAGAATATAAGCACAAATCCGAACGTTAAGTACAATACTGTAAGTAAAAGACGCGCAAAACATTCTCACCGCTGCGTCAAACTTTTCTTCTTCCTGATATTTGTGCTCCGGCTCGTTAAAAATCCTACTTCTTTTTTTTTCTTTCTCTAGTTCCTTACGCAGCATTTGAATCTAAAGATATTTGGTCAGCATTGTCTATATGGTAAACAAGTTAAGGTTAGAAACTGAGGTGAGCGATACTTTAATGTTGATTGGGCAGAACACTACAGCTCTTGTAAGTAAAAAAGCATGCGCAGAACTTGTGTCGAAAGCAAAACCAAAGATTCCAACTGTTTGTCAATTTAAGTGTTTTTTAGTGTTTTCATTCAGTGAAATTTATTCATTTAAATTGTAGCATTTAGAGTTTTAAACATAGCATTTAATCTAACACAAATTTGGTGTACCATCTTTACCGTTCTTTCAGCTTCTCTTCTTTTGTCATTTTCCCTTGCTATTTCGTCTTCAAGTAAATCTCGTTTGTTGTTTCCTTGTTCTATACGTTTCTTCAATTTTTGAATCTGTAAAGTTCACAGCGCAATATTGCACGCAAAAATAGTATTGTCAAAAACGAATGCACTGTATTTTTCGAAACCGCAAAATCTTTATTTGTCAGTAGCACAAGCTTTTTTGCTAAACTTTCTTTACCTTTTTCTCATATTCTTCTATTTTTTCGTTTGCTGTTTCCAGCTCATCGCCAATCTTGCGTCTTGTATCTTTTTCTTCATTAAAGCGACCTTCCAATCGTGTAACCTAAAAAATTCATTGTTAATTTGTTTCCAATAAGCGAGCCTTATTGGGAAATTAAAGCGCGCACTTTTTGTGCCGTTCTTAATCGTCCTCACCATAAATGTAGCCTTCAAGCTTTTCTTGAGAAACAAAACTTGTGTACTATTCTTCTCAACCTCTTTCTGCTTATTTTTTGCCAAGTTGACTTAGCTACTATTATTGGTCAAGGTATCTTCTTATTTAATTTTGAGAATTCTCGTAATCTTCCAATCAACAAAATTCTAAAGCTTAACGTTTATTTGCTTGAAATTTTTTAGAAGCAGTGGTATTAGCAGTACTTAATATCGCTACAAGCAGTTATCAATCTAAAAGCAAATGAAAATAAGAAAGCTAAAATCTCAGATGAAAAAACCCTGATAATATTACACGGCACTTCCAAATCAAAACTTTAGCATGGTCTTTATTCATCGTTTTCTCAACATTTTCTTTGGTATTTCTTGCCAATCAAACTCGGTTTTAAATTTTAACACGTTTTATCTTCTTATATTCACAAAAAATTTAGGAGATTGCGACATATTTCTCACAAAAAATCTTTACGAGGTAAACACTAAATTTTACTATTTAAAAAAGTATAATTACTTGTGCGGAGCGCAGATTTTTGATTATCAACTGCAGTATAAGAAAAATTAAAATATTTTTTTACCTTTCTTTCAGCATCTTCTCTTTTCTCATTAGCCGCTTGCAGTTGAACATTCATCTCTAATCGCCGTGCTTTTTCAG